TGACAGCTCCATCCCTGACGGTGAAATCTTTCCTAGTAACTACTCGGTATTTAGGCGGGACCGAAAGCTCAATGGACGTCATGGAGGCGGGGTATTGATTGCTACGCGAGAACACATCAAAGCGGTTCCCCGTGATACTACACAGAACGATTCAGAGTTCATCTTCGTCGATCTTCTTTTCTCATACAATCGCAAAGTCACTTTGGGAGTTTTCTATCGTCCTCCCAATAACGATCCTAAGCCTTTAGAGGACTTACAAGCTGTTTTGCAAGAGTTTTCGACGAACGAGTTGATTCTTGTTGGCGATTTCAATCTTCCGGAGATTGATTGGTTGAATAACAGATTCTTGCGTCAATCTGATATTTACACACTCATGATGGACATCGTCCAAGACAATTTTTTGACACAGTTGATAAATGAACCTACCAGAGACTCGAACATCCTAGACTTAGTTCTCACTACTTCGCCCGACCTCGTAAACCATTTGGTTGTTGGAGAACCCTTTTCAGATCACAATTCTATCTCCTTCTCGTTATCTGGTATACCTTACGTCCAGCGTAAATCACAGAAGTTGTTGTATTGCTATGGTAAAGCCGACTGGGATCACTTAAGATCGCTGTTATCTTATATTCCATGGCATTGCGCCTTCTTCGACAGCGATATTAATCATAATTGGGCTTGCTGGAAAGACTTGTTATTTACAGCAGTGGATGAGTGCATTCCCAAACGCAAGAATAAAAAGAGATCCAGTGCCCCCTGGATTACACAGGAACTTATTGTTTTGTGCAAAAAGAAGAAATTATTGTATAATAGAGCTCGCAGAAAAACAACTCAACTATTTGGGAAAAATATCGGCAACTCAACAATTCTGTTAAGAGACTTTGTAACACAGCTAGATGGTCGTATATAAAGAAACTTGCACTTGATCTACAGGAAAATGAAAACCCGAAACCTTTCTGGAATTTTGTTAAGTCCAAGAGAAGAGGCACTAATAATCTCATCTCTATAAGCGTCGATGGATGTGCTCTGACTGACGACTTCAGTATTGCTCAGAGTATGAACTCATATTTCTCTTCGGTGTTTACTACCGAAGATTATGCAAATTTTCCCACTCAAGACTGCACTGTTGACAAGAAACTTGCGAAAAATTGATTGTTCTGTCAATGAGGTCAAACGCCATCTTCTGAAACTCAAGCCCAACAAGTCTCCTGGGCCTGACCATATCGCGCCGTGCATTTTTAAGTCGTGTGCTTCGGAATTAGCACCTTCGTTAACGTATATGATAAACAAATCGTTGTCTCTTGGCCTTTTGCCTGAGGAATGGAAACATGCCGACATTACTCCTCTACATAAGAAGGGTTCCAAATCTTCGAGAGAAAATTACCGCCCAATTTCCCTTACTTCAATTGCTTGTAAGATCTGTGAAAAAATTGTTTTGATAGGATGATTAAGTTCTGGCGCGAAATCGACTTTATCAATAGCAACCAATTTGGCTTTTACGAGGAAGATCTACTACAACTCAAATGTTATCAACGTTTAATGACTGGGCGAAATCCCGTAATTCATCCACTCCTACCGATGTTGTTTTTCTGGATCTTGCCAAAGCCTTCGACAGCGTTCCTCATGAGCGACTGCTTTTAAAATTGAAATGTAGCGGCATCGACGAATGTTTACTCAACTGGCTGAGACATTTTTTGGTGGGGCGCAAACAACGTGTAGTCGTTAGGGGATCTTATTCTGATTGGTCGTGCGTTACCTCCGGAACTCCACAGGGAACCATTCTCGGGCCCCTATTGTTTTTATTGTATATTAATGACATATCTGAATTCTTATCATCTACAGTAAAATTATATGCAGACGACACGAAGATCTACAGAGAGATAATTGACCCTATAAAAGATAGTCAGCTTCTTCAGGATGATCTTAATAATCTTAGCGCATGGGCTCGTAAGTGGCAGCTACGTTTCAACGCAGACAAATGCGAATCTATGCGAATCACGCATTTACGCGATAAGTCGGTAACTAATTATTTCTTAGAAAAGCCCCTGAAAGACGTGACTAATTTTAAAGATCTCGGTGTCACACTAACTAGAGATCTTTCATGGGGCCATCACATAAGTATCACTGTCAATAAAGCGAACAAAGTTTTAGGTTCCATTAAACGCTCAGTAGGCACCGCTAACACAAATGTTTTTTTCTATGCTGTACATGTCTCTGGTACGGCCAATCTTGGAATATGCGGTACCTGTTTGGTGTCCTTACCTTGTTAAGGACATCCATGCCCTTGAAAATGTACAGCGAAGAGCCTCAAGACTCGCTTTAAATCAACGCAAAGGAGAAATGTCCTATGAAGACCGATGCAAACTGTTAAAATGGCCCACTCTCTCTGACCGTAGAACTTACTTATCTTTAGTCGAATGTTATAAGATAGTTTTTGGTTTTTATCATTTAAATTTTGAAGACTTCTTTGATATTGCCACGATTCGGTCTACGAGAGCAAATCATCAATACAAACTCTATATTAAACCAGCTAGACTTAATTGTTACAAAAATTCTTTTTTTATTAGGATTGTCAAATTATGGAACGAGTTACCGGGTGATATAGTGGAAGCTGACAGCTTTCAGCATTTTAAATCTAAACTTAAATCGTACTTAAATATTTGATTGTAATGATTTTGATTTATATTTTGTCTTTTCTTTTAAGGGAGTTTTTACACAGGGATAACCTCTTAACTTCCTTTTCTAGAAGTATTTTCTTTTTAGTTTTATTTGTATATAATAGTTATCATCTGCTTCTGGAATAAATAAAGTATGTATGTATGTATGTATGTATGTATGTATGTATGTATGTATGTATGTATTTTGTATGATAACTTCAGTCAAGAGAATACAAACTGTAATTCTCTTGCCTCAGTGACACAGACCTCGTTATAGTGATGGTGGTCCCTTTGTTAGAGAGAAAACTTAGCATGTCAATCCTGAATATCTCAATTTTAACGCTTTCCAAACTATTTTGTGTTTTCCAAAATAGCGTTTTCCGCCAAAAATGGCTTATTTAGGAGTAAAATTAGTGTCAATTCCGCAAAAATACGTTGAATAACACCTTTTTTTTAAAGACCTAGAGGGAGGGTGACCTCAAAGTAGCACTATCTAGGCAGAAAGCACGGAAATGTCTCATAAATGATAGCACCAGAAAGACTTCGATTTTCACGGAGGAAGGAAAAGAGTCGTTTCAAAAGGGCAAAACTTTGTTTAATTCCACGGACAGTTAAATGTCAAGGCATTTACCCATACAAATATTCCATTTTTCCACTGCATGGTCTGTTAAACATGGTGAAAGTGCCCAAAATTATCTGAACGTTTAATATATGAACAATAAAGTCTATGATTTTAACATAATATTTAAAAAATCTGATAACCTGGTTTATTTAAAATTCTGCATTGGATAACGTCAAATGCAGCAGAAATTCTGCGCGATGTAACGTCAAGCGCTGCAGAAATTCTGCTCGATGAAACGTCAAGTGCTGCAGAAATTCTGCACTATGTAACGTCAAGTGCTGCAGAAATTCTGCACGGTGTACCGTCAAGTGCTGCAGAAATTCTGCACGATGTAACGTCAAGTGCTGCAGAAATTCTGCACGATGTAACGTCAAGTGTTGCAGAAATTCTGCACGGTGTAACGTCAAGTGCTGCAGAAACTCTGCACGATTTACCGTCAAGTGTTGCAGAAATTCTGCACGATTTAACGTCAAGTGCTGCAGAAATTCTGCACGCTGTAACGTCAAGTGTTGCAGAAATTCTGCACGGTGTAACGTCAAGTGCTGCAGAAATTCTGCACGATGAAACGTCAAGTGCTGCAGAAATTCTGCAGGGTGTAACGTCAAGTGTTGCAGAAATTCTGCACGATGAAACGTCAAGTGCTGCAGAAATTCTGCACGATGTACCGTCGAGTGCTGCAGAAATTCTGCACGCTGTAACGTCAAGTGTTGCAGAAATTCTGCACGCTGTAACGTCAAGTGCTGCAGAAATTCTGCACCATGTTACGTGTAGTGTTGAAGAAATTCTGCAGTAGTTTCAGATAGGAAATTTTAAGGGTCCTAATCTATACCGTCATTTTTAACTCTAGTTTTTTAATGTTTTTCTATATACGTCAACAATACTCTTCATCCTGACGCTTTTTCCATGCTTTTAAATAAAACAAGTGAAATGAACCTCACGATTGGAATCTAAGGGCTCCCAACGGGACCCATAGCTTTAATGAGTAGGTAATTCAAATTACAAATCAGACTTACACTAAAAAAAAATTTTTGATAACATAAACTTTGTCAATTGAATTGTTTACTAACTAGTAGATTGTCATTGACATATAAACTAGGAAGATACAAGACTACAAATTTTAGTCTCTATCGCTGCCTGTTCGGAAGGCAAAGCGGTACTGTCTATCCTAACTGCGCTTCGCCCTTTCCTCAACGCAGCCACCATTGCATAGCCATTGGGGGTTCCAGCATCAATAACCACGTCCCCTTCTCTGGAGAGGTTTTCTACAAGCCATGTGTAGCCTTGTGCTGGGAATGAATTCAGGAAAATCAAATTTTCTCTACTGGCGGACAAATGTCTCGAGGTTATTTGCCTTGAGACAGACCAGTGTCCAACTACAAAGGTTTCTAAGGCTTCCTGTAAATACGGACCTAAAAAAAATTAAAATGAGTATCAACAATATGATATATGCGTATTATACACTTACTAATTTCTTTCGACACTGCTGGAACGTTTTAATTCACCAAACCTTACTATAAATTGTGCATGTAATACGCTCTCAAGGAGAAAGTTTAAAACAAGTTCAGATTATAGAATCATGATATACATTTTTGTTAACTCTACAAGTACATCAAATAATTCAATTCTGTTGACTATGAGGTTTTTAAAACTTTCTTCTGAGGACAGTTGTTTAATTCTAGAAGTATCTTACCTTGTGCTGTAGTTGGAGGTTTATTTTGGACGTAAAAGTAGCCATGCTGTGCCAGAGTAGCGCCCTCTTTTAGCATTTTTTTTCTTTTTAGATTTTTTACACCTTCAACCATTGTAAATAAAACAATGTTAAATGATGTAAGCTTGCAGAAATTAATGCGGGAAACAGTGCTAATTACATCATCAGCATTCTGTGAAGAGAAAAATATGAGTCGTAATAAGTAAATGCAAACAACTAAAAGTTATCCACAAAAACACAGGATTTGATTAGGATTGTAGTAAAATCCTGCATGTATTCGTTAAAGGCGATTTTTCCGTGCCGTTCTCAGCCTAACTGGAACGTAACATGATTTTTTATCATAAAAATGAAGTAAATGTTCATATTAAGTTCATTTAACTTAACTTATAACATTTCCCGGTTAAAATGAAACTTTTCGGAAAATTAAAACAACAGAAGGCGACAAGAAACATAACGTCTTATGCTAACAAGGGCAATTAAAATAACAATGCCTCGTCACTTAATTCATTTCTTTCCAAGTCACTCGATAGTCGAACGGTTGCGGGAGAGTCTCACATAGATTTTTATCTTACCTCGCACTGCTCCCCTGCTTCACCTATGGTTAAAAACGCTCCCTCGTAATGTGGTAACTTTGCCAGATCGCTTTGTTGTACGTCTAACTGGCTGTTGCTAAATACTACGAGCCCAAATGTTCACAGATCCAAACCGATACGCGCCCCGTGAATTTATTGGAGTGAATTCGAGCTGAAAGAAGAATTGATGATAGATTTTAGGCTTACAGTGAATTGATACATCAGTAATTTAGCCATAACCTGGATTGAATGGGAATTTAGAGTCCAATGTCAGCAATAAATGTATACTGTATACTTTAAATCACCTTGAGTTTCTTCTTGGGAGGTGATGCTCCAGATTCTTCAGCAACAGAACCTGATGAGTCTTGGTATGATTCGGCTCCGATTATGTTTAAGAAATTTTCCACTCTTTTTCCTCCTCTGTATAAATACGCGGCTCCCGAATTCACTTTAATGTACCACAGTTTCGCTTCATTACTGCGCTTATCTTTTGGAGGCATCTTAAGTAGAAGGTTAGTTTACGACCAAGGCTGATCAGTTCTGGGATACACTCCTGAAGACCTGAAGACCTCTTATCGCGAATCATCATTGCCTTTTTTTATACTACTGAGGGAACAATAATAGCAGTGATGAAAAGAGTCGCGATGAACTGCATTTCCGTCAAAGCTTTTTACACCTTCAGAATAAATTAAAAAGGTGACATTTTCCTGTGAGAACCAGTCGACGCAACTTAAAAGTTGCCTTGACACTTCCTGTTGTTTTTGTGTTATAACTGTGAGGCCTTGTCCACGCTATGCCTTTTAAATTTTGGTATTAAATCGTCGTTTCCTTCCAATCGTGGGAACAGTTAATTTTGTTTTCGCCCACAGTCCAACGATCTCTGGCGGTATCATCGGGCAAATAGACATAACTAGGTCTGAATCTGAAACAAAAACCGCGGGCGTTTTGAAAATGGCTCCATGTTCGGTTAATGCTTGATCAACTTATGTGCACGGTATGCCAGTCAGAGATTTGAAGTAGCGATTTGAAATTTATCCACTATAAAAAGTGGATACCACAGTGTTTAAAGGGGAAAAATTCGCTGAAGATTCCATCTTTGACATCAAAACCCGTGACAAGCCGTTCGAGACCTCCCAATTCGTGCCACCCATTAGGCGAAAAATATGTTCTCACTAAGGCGAAGGAATAAGATTGCTTCGGACTAACTCTTCGAAAAAGCATTTGAAGAGGTCCTTTTGAAATTCAAACAACGTTTCAAAGCATGAGGGTACCCAGAAAACATCATAGGAAGGACTCTGTCGGGGGTCAACAATCGGCCCTTTCATGTACACAAAAGCCAAAAGGTCACGAACGATTGTTGCCTTTTGTCACAACGTGCCACCAGACGGTCAAAAAATTAAATCATAATATTGATGAAACATTGGAGTCTGATACACAATCAGCCCTTGCTGAAAACAATTTTACAAAACCTCTGATCATCTCTTTACAAATAGGGAAAATCCCTCAAAAGATATGCTTGTGAAAGCAAAAGTATAATTTGAAGGCGATAATACGACGTGACCAAGAAAGCCTCATGGGGAGTCCGTGCCGGCCTTTCTTTACCTTTATTCTCAAGAAAGAAAAAGTGTTTCATTTCCTTTCTTCATCTGACAATTACCGGTGCGGCTAAACACACAACAGTAAATGACATTTTCAGTAGATCATCCCGCAGTGAATCAAAGTTAGGTCTCCTGGTGAAGTATACGTATACCGTGCTCGACAGCGCCATGCCTTTTCTGGTTTTAAAAGCAAAATTTAGAGGCGAGAAATCGGGTGAACGAAACTTGTGAACGAAAGCCATTAGCGTGTTAGTATTGATTTTAAACAGTTTGGCTATTGTTCTACGGTGCAAAACAAAGCAAGAAAAACCGCCTCGCTTCCTTTGATCTCTCTGAAATATCCACGGATATTTACCAGAGGACATCTTTACCACGGTAAGCACCAGGCTCGGTTAGTGTCGAATACTCTCAGTTAATGCAGCCTCCCGCGGTAAAAGTATTTAATGTCCCATGCAAATGCGCTCAACACAGGAAAATATAGGAGCCGATAATATTTTTACCATTTCTGAGAGCATGATCTGGCTTTATCTCCACTATAATTCGCAAGCTGTCCTCTGTGTAATTCAACCGAGGCAAGACAAAAGTAATATCTACCCATTATTTTAAAAACCGCGTACATCCGCCTAATCAAGATCTAATGTAATCGTAGAATTGGGCTTTTGTCTTTTTCGTCCATATCAAAGGTATACCTCTAGTGCTCTTGTCGGACCCTGCGTGGAGTTATCTGGTACACCTAGCACAAAATGTTCCAACCGCTTTTAGCGAGTACACCAGAAAAAGATCGTCTAGTTCTGCAAGCCTCATTGATTTGTATGATTCAGACACCGATTTAAGTAGTTTGGGATCACCACAAAAGAGAAGACTTCCCAATGAACCTGAGTGGGTTGACTTGGATAATTCAAGCGAACTTTTGAGTGCAAGCCCCCTTGTTCATGAGGAAATAATCCCGGTTAACGAGAGTCAATTAGAAATGGAAACTTTACAAGAAAGTGAAACAGCGTGGCTTGATTTAGATGTCAGTGCCTCCAAAACTACAGGTAATGAACTTGGCTCTTTTGAGTTCAAGAAGATGTAAATACTAAATACGCAGTCAATCCAGTCTCAAGAATTTTTCATTAACACCACAAATTTAATTTTAATTTAAGATTGGTTTGAGGACAGATCATAAATGCGCAATGTAATTTAAAGCCCCTAACTGATCACGGATTGGTGTCGCAGAATCTAGCTGAACGCGCGTATTGTGAGTCTTACTGTTTCTCCTGCTTCACTTGCGCGGAGAAGAAAATACTGGTTCGCAGGCTATATAACCAAAGTCTGTGTGATATACTTTCAACGGTAAATCCATATATTTCAAGAAAAACGTAAACCTAGATCCAGTTTAACTGTTAATTGTAAAATAACCTCAAATTCGGAAAAAATTATATGCATGAGTGTCAACGTTGACCATACGACGCCGACTTATTGTCTTATCACAGATGCTATGAGTATTTCTCTTCACGATGCCGATACTTCATTGGGGCATGACGAAACGCCACAGGGTGAGGAAATTTTGATTTTCAAATTTTATAGTGAAGCTCGAAAGAGGGGCGTTTTGATCTCTGAGAAAAGCAACACCTTTGAAAAAATTATCCGGCCACAACACAGATCACCGCGTAATCGAATCACTGAAATCACAATTTTTTCTAACTGTACAGACAACCGACCGCATCACAAAGCCACACTACATACTTTCAAGTTGACTTTAACCGTGCATAAGGGTCCACTAATCGAGAAAATACAGCAAAACTACAGAATACAAGGCCACTCATTTACCTCTCGATGAATCACAACACATCCTTTTGTGTTCTGCCTCATTCTTCAAAGCATGCCGACGAGTTGGACTTCTGTAGCCCTTTATTCTTTTTTTGCTACAACTTCGTAAATCTAATGTCGGTTTTCTTATCTGACACAGATTTTTCCTGCGATTCTCTCCACGATGCGGATTCCTCTTTGAAAGTTCTAGAAACAGAAAAATGTGAACCAGATTGTGCACCTCCAGGTAAATAAGAAGCCAATTTTTTTTTTCCGCTGACATCAATGGTAAGAAATTCCAAAGACAGTCATTTTGGTCTTCTAGTAGATTTATTTTCCAAGTTTCTGTATACCATGAAATCTTAAGGTCAGAGTTCTGCAAAGTGTTGATAATCTAGTGATTTTAAGGTATGTACAAGCTCGGAAAATTCGTTCCCTTGAGAATCAAAATAATTTTTGGAGTCGCTTGACATTTCTGAACAAACATCTGGTACTCTAATGAAGTTTGAAAGGACCTTTCAGTAGCAATTGCATGAAAATTCCCGACTGCCGGACATTAAGACACACCGTAAAAGTAACATCGAACACACAATTACATTAAAAATTGAAACAGATAAGCAGGCAGTCAACGGCCTCTACAAGTTGCTCAAGCGTGCAAAAGCAAATTTGGCCCTAGAAGCTTTAACTTTTCGTCACATTCATTGTACTTTCAGATCATCATTGGCTTATTTCAAGTGTCACAGGGAAAAATGTTTTCCTTCACCTATCAAAATCAGAAAATAAGTCGTACATCATTCAGTGGCTTACGAACATAGCAGCAGCCACTGTGAAGTCATTTCTTAACAAACACGTGGATTTTATCATAACTGATCGAGAGGAAACTGTGAAAAAGTCATTTCGCAATAAGCTAAAAATCTTCAATGAAAAACGAAGCTCTCTGATGCTTGGAATTGCAACTACTAAAGTACCAGCAATAAGAGGATCGTCTTCCGTTTTTAAAATTGCGTCTACTTGGAACATAAAAATCTCAAAATATACTGATCTAGTGTCTTGCATGGAAGAATACCAATATAAACCAATCCGGCTGGGTGCACAAATTAGGATCAATACAAAGGGCCTTGTTCATACACTTCGCAATCCTTTCGTAAAAGTAGAGGATCAGACAAGGAAATGCAGACCAGATATTGTTGAGATGAAATCATTCCCATACCTTGACTTTAATAATGAGGGAACATCATCACCATTCGATACTTGGTTTAGGCAAAATAGATTATGATTACCAAAAAAAAAAAAAAGAACAATAATACATTATTAACAGCTCTAAAGCCTTGACATGCTGCATTTCTCTCACCGTAGAATACGAGGGATATCGGTTGGGTCTATCTTTGTCGTAATTTAGATTATCAAACATATGTAATAATACAATGTAATACAATAAATTGGCTTGTTTTATTACGCTTTTGTTCGTTTACTGCGCAAAGGGCAAGTTAATCAATGTTATTGATCAAAATTCAAGGTTACCTTCGTCTTAAGTGATTATACTTTCAACGAAGACTTGAACAAGTTTTAATTTCCATTTAATATGGTCCCATAATTTTTTCTCAAATTTAGATTTATCTGCTAGACGAGACGAGGAAATTTTGTGGATCATTTCCATTAACTGTTGCGCAAAAAAGTGCATGAGGCAACTGTCTGTAGAAGACATAAGATATGCTGAAGCAAAGAAAAAGGCAGGAAGCGAAACTATTTTTTAGAGTACCTGCATCAACACAGTAGCTCTGATGATTCCAATGAACTACAAACTGAATTTTATGTAAAAGGAAAGATTGTGTGTAGGGAAGCATGGCTTCTTGCACACAATTTAAATAAGGAAACCTTTAGACGAATTTGGGGAAAATTTAAAGATGGTGCAAATGTGCTGGAGCATGGGAATAAAGGAAGGAAGTCAATCACTAGCAAGACTGCAGATTGCATTGCCTGGTTGCAGTTTTTTGTTAGCTGTGTAGGGGACCACCAACCAGACAATGGTGGCATCCATTTACCAACATGCTTTACTAAAAGTGACATTTACAAAAAAATGCTGGAGGAAAATAAAGCACTCAGTCAGCCAACAGTATCCCTTTCTCATTTTTATGGCCTATGGGAAAGGAATTTTCTTCATGTCACCATTCCCAAGGTAAGTGGCACCAAATATGCAATAGTTTTCAGTATGATGATGACTAACACTTACAGGTGTGTGTATTTTACAAACCATTTATGTAATAATATCATTGCTGTTCCAATACATTAATTTGACAATGGCACCCAAAGAGAACATGAAAATGTGTTAAATATGGAAACCTAGATAGCAAAATAGGGGGCCCAGTAGGTCATGACCATCTCTTATCCAACAATCATGAGTGAAAAAAAGTTTTATTTTGTGGCTTTGTTTGGTCTGTAAACTGCTGAGATGAACCATGCCTAGTTTTTTTTTTCATGTTATACCTCATACATGCAGAAATGATCTATCAATTTGAATCTTCTAGGAAAATCGCTTTACAAAATGCACAGACTGCACAAAATACAAGCAGGAGAAAAAGAAAAACTGTGGACAAAGCCAGAAGGGCTGAAATTGATCACTTGCTGAAGCTTCATCTTGATTTAGTCTGGTGAGAGAAATGTTTAAAAAGTACAGTTAGTTTGATGAACAAAAAAAAATCTGTCACATCAAAAGCAATTCACTAGTCTTCTGGTCTTAAGAACTAATAATAATTTTTCCTTATATCACTAGGCAGGAAAAGGAGGGTGTACTATCTTCACAGGTATAAAGCCAGGAGGTACCCATCAAAGTATGTGGCAAATATTGCTGATGGTATGGACCAACACACCACAAATGTCCCAAGTGTGCCAATTACCAAGGCAATGTCTGCACTTACGACTGTGGGAACACACCTTGTTGGTTCCATTATTCACAACGGACAAGCACAAAATGGAAAGGAGATTTATGGGTCATTTGACTACTACCAGTATCCTCATGACTCTAATCTCACTATGACAGTTCTGTTGGAAGTCCTTGTAAGATGGTCTGAGGAATTTGACCTACCACCCATTCTCTATTTGCAGTTTGACAACTGTGTTAGAGAAAACAAGAACCGCTACATGTTTGCTCTATTGGCACTTCTGGTTGAAGAGAAAATTTTTGAAAAAGTATGTTATCTTGGGTAATTTTAAAAGAAATGCATTTGCCTTATTCACATTTCCCACAAAGCACTTTGTTCAAGTGTCAAAATGTCCCATTGCAATGTTTTCAAGGTCCATTTGGGTGGGAAGTTAGTTTCCATTCAATCTCAATTTTGCAACTACTGAATGAATGTAACCTGAAGTTGAAATTAAAAAAAACACCACTTTCCCTTCTTGTATTTCAGATAAGAGTTAACTTTCTCCCAGTGGGAAATACCCATGAGGACATAGATGCCTTTTTTGGGTTTATTCAAAGCACTTAGACAAACTGGATGTTTACACAGTCACAGGTAAGTTGTTCTAACATAAAGTAATTACTTCAAGGTACAGTTGGAGTAACTGAGAGTTCAACAATCAAAACTGCCTGTGCAGTGTGATAATCTTGTGTGGCAAATATTCACATAAGTTATCTATCAATATAAATACATAGCAACTAGCACTGTGATCAAACAAATTTCTGCACGAGGCAAGAGCATGGTTCAAAATTTAGTCTATAGAAAGTATGAACACTTCCACTTGAATTAACAGATTAAATGTGACATTGACATGTTATAAATTTGGTGTAAATGTTTATTTACAGAGTACATGTAAGATCTTAATTTATTTTACACTTCACTGTCACTTAGGATTACTGAAGGCACTGGAAACATGCATGAAGAATCCAACACCCAAGCCCTATATGCTCAAGATGGTTTATGACATAAAATCATGGATTAGTGATTATTGTGAGGAGTTACATGAACACACAGTTCCAAAGTGCTTTAAATTTACATTGAATGAGGATGGAAAAGCAGTTATGCACTACAGAAATTGGAGCCATGAGCCATGGAAAGAGCCCATTGCAATGCTGTAGGTTAGCACATGAAATTCTTAATTAGTGGTTCCTGAGTCATAATTAAAATAGTAACTTAAAAAGCTTACCTGATGTTTTCTGAAGTAGCATTGGCACTGACAATTTGTAGGCCTGAAAAATAACATTAATGCTCCAAATAACTGAATGTTTGCTGACATTACATGTTAAGAATATGCTGGGTTTAAATTGATCCTCAATTTAAAATGTATCTCACTGCTTTTCCCTGTCTTTAAGATTGGGATCATAATGTGTACAAGTCAAAGAAGAATTAAATGGAAAGAAAAGCCCTTATTATTGTCTCTCAAGGAAATTTGAGCCAACAAATACATTGCTAGACATGGTTTGATGCTACTCTGGTTTAAAGATTAATTTTGTTGAATTTAACAGATAAGTTACAATTATTTAATATTTAAACCAGAATAAAATCAAACCATGTTTGATTGTTCACCTGGCTGCCTTGTGAGGTTTATTATATCAAATTCATTGTTGCCTTTTTTTGCTATACTAGAGTTTACCCTCTGGAAAGCCAAATACTGTGACTCCTTCCCTACATAAACTGGACATGGAGGGATTGAAGAGAGATATTCCCACCAAATATCCCAAGAATATGCCCTTAAAAGCATCTGAAGAGTGGGAATCCTGGTTAGCAAATACAGAGTTTAATCTATTATCAGTACCTGACAACTACACTTGGCCAGTGGATAAATTGAAGAATACTTCAAGGACTGTTTTAGCCTCAAATGCTGAACTCCCTCATGAACTTTTAGAGCTCAGAGAGAAAGAGATCCAGCCTATCACAGAGGTGAATAATAATTAAAATGCAGCAGTGGACACTAAAAAGCCAAGCCTTCAAATGGTCCTACAGATATAAAAGAGAAATAATTAGAGGGGTCCATTCCTCTAACCCCTTCTGCGTCCAGTTATAGATTATACAAGTCCAACTTTAGATATATAATAATGTACATGATAAAATTACATGCTTCTGATTTGCTGAAAACAAGCCAATTCTCATGTAGCACAAATGCAAAGTTGCAACATGAGTCCAAATTACAAATAGGGCAAACACACTTTCAAAATTTTGTCTGCACATTGTTCTTGCAATTTGGTCTACTAAGCACTTGTAATTTTTCAAATACCACGAAATTGCACTTGCCCTTCAGGCTCGTGCAAAAATTTTGTTGTCTTTGGAAACTTATTTGTGCTTATTCACACCAAATTGCACTAATAGAATATGACACGGTCACATAATCCATTACTTATAATTAATCAAAGAATAAAATGATAAGAACAATTGATAATTGATACATCTCAGTCGAAATGCTCACCTAAACAAGTAAATTCTAATGAAATGTCTGTTGAATATTTCAGATTTACACAGGCCGTTACAGGACCCCGAGGGAAAGGGAAGCGCCTATTGAAATGGTAGACGATTTCCTCGCTACTCTTCAAGTCAGCTGCTTTGTGGCTTTGTACTTCGCCAATTACGATAAACTGCCCTGCATTGGCAAGGTCCTGGCCGTCGAGGAGGACAATTTTTAAGGTGCATTACTGGAAAGGCACTTACTGTGGAAAGTGGACTCCTCAGCATGTTCCCCGACAAAAATCCAGACCATGGGTGGAGATCCTTCCTAAGAGCTGTATAGTGTGCAGTTCATTTGAGCTTACGGAAGACAACAAGCTAATGCCATCAACAAGAAAATTTCTCAAGGAAAGATATGTTGCTTTGAGGACAATTCAATCTTGAGTTTTTTCCTTTACGCCGTTCCTTTCTGAAATTGGGCTTAGCTCTTTGTGTAAAATTACATAGAGTGTCGTGACACATGCGTAGTAACGTTGCTTTAGAACACGCATGTACTGGAATTGCGGTTTAATGACTTGTGTGTTGCTCAGTGGCCTCTGCCTATGTGGAGTTTACAATTAATTCTCTATAAGTTACAGAGTCGAGTTAAGTTCAAAGCTAGGTATTCTTTTTGCTTTGACACTGTTCAGCAAGATGTGGTAAATGAATCCACCTACATCGATGAAGTCTTTTATCGATCGAGTCGTATCCAGTTGCCACTCTGTGAGGAAAATATATTTATTTATGGATGTTTATTTAGCAATCGATTTCAACCCGAGTCTCTCATCTCGAGGCCGTAGGTAGGACATATATATAGATATATAAGAAACCAAAATTTTTTTCCCTCGATGTCGAATTTTCTAAGCCACCGTGTATTGAAACTACTGAAATGTAGCATGGATTTATTGTAACTTAACTCTCCATCCATAAGGCCTCAAGGGCTTTCATTACAGGGTAGGGTAAATGCAAGATAAAAATAAGAAATTTTTTATTAGTTGTAATTTTTACATATGTTTTTGAGATAGTTCAAAGGAATGGCAGTATAACAGTTTATATTTTCCTCTTTTAAAAAGTGGAATCAAATTGTTTGTGTGATAGATCTCAAAATTTTTATGTCATTGGATTTATTATATTTTTTCATTTCATTTATCTGATCGTGCAATAAAGGGACGTGACTTGAACTGTTTATTGTATTTCTTACTTCCTTAACAGATGAGTATAACTACCACATTTATGAAGATGTGCCATTTGATAGTTTAATTATTGTAAATCATAGAGTGATTGAGGATCACTGACCAAATGTTGTGGAATCTTTTATTGACTGGTTTTAGTAAGATTGCTAAATGGCTGTATTGTGATTGTGTAAATGTGATTGCAGAATTTCTGTGACATCCAGTGGTTGAGTGGTTGCAGAATTTCTGCGACAGCTTGACTGAGTCATCATCGCAGAATTTCTCTGCGACACCCAGTGGTTAAGTGGTTGCATAATTTCTGCAACAAGTTTTGAGTGAGGGGTCGCAGAATTTCTGCGACAGCTTGAGACTGAGTGATCGCAGAATTTCTGCGACATCCAGTGCTTGAGTGGTCGCAGAATTTCTGCGACAGCTTGTGACTAGGTGATCGCAGAATTTCTGCGACATCCAGTGCTTGAGTGGTTGTAGAATTTCTGCGACAGCTTGTGACTGGGTGATCGCAGAATTTCTGCGACATCCAGTGCTTGAGGGGTCGCAGAATTTCTGTGACATCTAGTGACTGAGTGGTTGCAGAATTTCTGCGACATCTAGTGGCTGAGTGGTCGCAGAATTTCTGTGACATCTAGTGACTGAGTGGTTGCAGAATTCCTATAATATCCATTTCCTGAGTGGTTGCAGATTACCTCTGCATCTTTCCATGGTTGACTCTTAACACATTGTTTTTTACAGACATGCTCAATCTTGCAGGAGAAAATAAGATTTTTTAATCTTTCTAAGATTTTATCCGCGAAATTTGATTAATTTTGCTAGTTTTCCTAAACGTGCAGAGGAAAACTATTGATTTATCAAAAAATAGGCTATTTTGGAAAACACAAAATAGTTTGGAAAGCGTTTTTTGTTATGAAAACGAATTATGATATACAACTGAGCTATAAATGCATATAAAGCGGTTCTTACTTATGATCTATTAGAAGAAAGAGGCACAGACGTCTGCACCAATTACATTATTTGGATTCTCTATATATTTATATATCACAAGAAACCAGTCACCAGTTCACACTCCGTCACGCCTTGTGTGCCACTTTTTAATGCTTAACACTTTTAACGTCATCTGTGATCTCTTTTTAAAACAGACGTAGGACAACATGGAATCTATTTGTTGTTTAACAAACAAGATAACAATTATTTTTCTATTTGTTGAAACAGACTCCTTGATTCAGCGATCCATGAATGAGCAATGCAACTTGTGTGGTAACTTTTAGTTACCAAGAAAACGATTATCACTGCGGTATATGTCCACCATTTTACGACGGCAAAGACTGCAGTAAAGGTATCTCCTCCTCCGCGTCTTCCATCTCCATTCTTTTCTTTTCTACTCGTTTCCCATCTTTTCCTTTTGTTTCTTGCTTTCTTCCTTAGTTAGTCTCCAGGCCGTAGTTGTTCGAAGCATAGATAACGGTATCCACCGGATAGATCATGTTTCTATCCGATTAATAGCGCAGTACGTTTTTTTAACACTTATTTACTGAATAACAATTTTGCCGTTGGGTAGCGTTATTGGCCCTTTGAACAACTGGGCATTGTAGTCTTCTACTGGTCGCGAATGTTCACTTCGGTTCCATAAAAATGAAAAAAAAAAACCCCAGTGCTACGCGTGAAAGAAAGACCTTTGCAAGGGGAGAATCCGAGCGCAGAAGGGGAGGGGGGGGGAGGGTTAGGTCAGTTTGCTCTGACTTTTTTTTTTCTGTTTCGTATTCTTTTAAGCTAAGCAGAAGACTGACCGCAATTTATTTCCAACTAAAAAAATTTTTAACGCTTTTGCTATTCATTTTATTTAACCCGCGATTCTGTCAACCTCAATAACAAGAATCCCCAATGATTCCAACCTTCTGCTTACTGAAACCAGTTTTCGTTTCCTTTCTAGGCATTTCCCAATTGTTTTTTCCTTGCTTTATACAAACAGAATTTTCAGCACCTGAACAGTCAAAACGAACAGTATTCACGCTAATCCAACGCTAAATTATCAGTTTCAAGCATGCACGTGTACACAAAACGCGTGCCAGTCCAGTCAAGTTAACCTATTTTACACTTTTTCTTCAGAGAACTTAAATGCTTAGATTGAAATTCCCAAAATGTTTCATTTTCATCTGACTACGCTTTACCAAAAGCAATTACCTTAACAAAATGAGTTGATTAAAACCTTCAACGTTCGAAGAAATTTCAATGGTTCCTTAACTCCTAATAAGTTTCACTTCCGATAATACGAACCTTTTTCGAATTCAATTACCCCCGAAGATTCGAATTTTCTGAACTCAGCTGTAGTCATAAGTCATACTGATAAACCAACTTCTTTTACCCATATAAACTCTGGTATTGTTCCTTTTAATATTCAGGTCCATTTGTTGGACTTCATTGCCTGGACATTAAGGATCGAAGTTTTTCCCGGGATAATGGCATGTACTAGTTGGACCCGGATGGAGGAACCATTCCTATGCATTTCAGGCCTATTGTGACATGACGTCACACAATGGAGGATGGACCATGTGTTACACTACCGATGAAAATGATGATCTGCTCTACAGGGACTTCTTGGTTTCTGCCCACACAGGGGGTTGTTTCATGACATGCACCAATTGGTGCTCCGATGTTAGCACGTCATTTTTCTGCATTGCATTCACTAATTCAAATGGCCGGTAGGGTGGCATGGCATTTGGTGAAAAAGGTCATGATGTCCATGATAAAAGGCGTATCAGTATCGGATTACAATAAGGTTTCTCCTTTCTTGGTCCCATGGTGAACACTAAGGCAGATCTAAATATAACATGCAATTGTTTCAAATCTTTTCTGGGCGTTCAATTAGTAAAAGTTTGCTTGTTGGTACTAGTCATTTCCTCTTATTTCTTCTCTCCTTGACACCATTGTAAACGAAATGAACACTTGAGTCAGACCAAGTTATTTATCGTCACTGGTCATAATAATTGGGTTTAGAGACTCATCGCTGCAAGCATTTCTTTTTTATATTACTTACTTTTGAAGGGTTTTCACTCAATATTGGCCCTTCATAAGCAGTGCTTATCAGTGTAAGCAATGATTTATAAAAAAGCATTTTATGATGGAAATGGCGAAAAAATATCTTTAACGATCTTTTTACACACTTTCAGAACGACACTTTTCCAAAGAAGTTTGAGGAAGCTTCAACAAGTATAGAGGAACGGCCGTCGTCACATTTTATAACGTTAACCCTAATTCTTGCCATGCACTGAACAGAAAGCAAAGTTAGAAGTTCATTACATAATATATATATATATATATATATATATATATATATATATATATATATACACTTATGGCAACAAGTTAACACTTGTTTATATTTTTGATGATGACCAATAAGCACGGAACCCAAATGCGACCCCATTAGTAAGTTCAACTGATGAAATTTCTCCACCTGGTGAACATTTGGAAAATAAAACTGACGCCCGCTTCGTTTTATATCTTGTCAATTCAAATTAATTTGCCCTTCATAAGCAGTGCTTATCAGTGTAAGCAATGATTTATAAAAAAAGCATTTTATGATGGAAATGGCGAAAAAATATCTTTAACGATCTTTTTACACATTGAACACTTTTCCAAAGAAGTTTGAGGAGGCTTCATAGGGTTTTCACTCAACGTTGGCGCGCGCGCCAGCGTAATGTTTCTCTAGAAAATTTTTATGTTTTCGCTTTTCAAGGTCACTAAAAGCCATCAGAAGGCAACGAGTCAGGTTCGGACTATCGTTTACCGTAGTAAATGTTATCAAAATGATTTTCGTTTTTAAGCTAAGGCTCCACGAAGGGAGGCGCTCGCCAGCTATAATTTGGCTTTGCCTTTGATTTTCTTCAATTTGCTTTGGTGAGATCTCTCAAAATTTTCACAGTTTTGTGAAGATTGTCTTGCTAGTCATTTATAAGCCGAAAAAACAGGGGTCACAAAAGCAGTTTTCTCCCTATTTGCAATTTTGTGTTTTCTTTCTCTATCTCAAGTTTGGTCCTATGATTTTTCTTCTCAACAGGCACTAGGAAGGCCACTAATATGTTTAACGGTCCAGCAAATCTTAGGAAATTCCACCGACGGAAACCGATCGATCTTATTCGAAAGATCCCTATTTTCTTTGTCTAAATTATTACGTGGTGGTATAGAACTTCGCTAAGATCACTATCTGAGCATGCGTAGACTTTTTAATCTGTCACCTTCTGGCAATCTTTCCTACTGTGTTTTCTTTTCCGTTGACCTCTTTTCAGGCGTAGAAGGCCTAAGAATATTACGGGTGCTTTTGCAGGAGACCTTAGATTTCATTGTATAAAGACTTTATTGTATTATACTGTTTTTTATACACCTTTTCAGATAACAATCGTGCTATCATATCGAGCCGCCATGTTTGTTTTGCATGTCGACACTTTTAAGGCTCGTGCTATGTTTGCACCCAGATCTCGCGCGGTCAAAAAACCTTATGGAGCCTCCTTGGGACGTGTACAGCTCATTGTCAATATAAATCATGACCATGGTTGCACGCTGCACGCTTACCGTTTCTTATATAACATTGAGAGTTTCAACATCTTTCGTTTTGTGTAGGAAAAAAAGGGAAAACAAACTGACGTCAGCATGTAGCCCACAGGCAAATCGATCAAGCGTATTAACCAATCAGAGCGCGCACTTTTATAAGGCTATGTCATCAGTCAATATCGTTCATCGCACCAAATAGTAGCCTAAAAAAAACACTGAGCGAAGTCAGCAGCCCGTACATCAAAATTAGTATAAATACAAGAAACATTAAAGAATGTAGCACAGGCAAACGCCTACAACAGAGAACCATTTCCAAGTAAACACCGCCTTACAATGTTGGAGGGTTTGTGAAACAGGCCGCCATTAGTCACAGAAGAGATCAACTGATAATGTTCATGCAATTTGACATTATATTTTTGGCAAACATTTAAGTTAATTTTGGAATTCTATCAACTAGTTTGGTGTTAGCCTCATCAGATGATGATGCAATTATTCTTTAAAAGTTATATGGCAGTCATATTTCTTATTACCGCAATAGATGAAAAGTGCCTTCATTGTAAAGGATCCTGTTTATTACAGCTGAGGGATGAATCATTGTGCCATTTGATATTCAAATCTGGTGAAAACATCAGCTACATCTATCGTTTTTGTTAAATGTATTCTTTCTCTAATTCTCTATATCTAGAGGTTACCCTGATGTAAAGGTATTTCAGCGTATTTACCGTAAAGTAAATACATGCATTTACGATCAAGAAAGGACAAAACGCGAACAAAGAACTTTTTCTCTTTTAGACCATTAATTTGAAATTTTCAGCATGGCTTTTTCTTTATGAGAGATGTTATCATGTGATACAAGCTCGATTTGCCTAGACATGTGTCAATCATTTCTTGTTCAAGCTGCGTGCAGCTTCTAATTGATGAGACGAAAAGATCTGTGGTGAATTTAATGGGCATCAATAATGAACCGCCGTTTCTTTTTCTCTTACAAACATCTTACGATGAAGAAGGGAAGTTTGGAAACTTTTAGCTAAGAAAAACGGAAAAAATCGCTGATGAAGTGTCACTATTTGTTAAATTTAATCTTTTATTGAGTTTACATAAACGTTCGCTAAACATTATTTTCATGTCACATGCTCTAAGTTTGAATATTTTTGTCAAACGGAAGAAATCCTCCAGATCATCACAAGCGAAAGAGAAAAAAGAAACATGTCAAATAAAAATATCTATAAAAAACAGCCTAGTTTTCATTTACTATGCCTTTAAAAGGGTCCGAGGGAGTGCATGTAGGCTTTTTTTGTATATATATTTTATAGGTCATGGAATGTTCTTCCTTCACTGCCAAATTGCTTCAGCGCTATCGAGTGATATTTATATGTGAATAAGGTTTGAACTGCCTGGTATCAATGTACTCTAAGACGTTTCCAGTTGGATGTAGGTGAGTTTTCAATTGTTCTGAGAGGAAAGACGAAATATGATTAGAGTGTCATGTTGTAGACCACAACTGCTTCTCCTTTCCCAAACTCGTTGGCTTTGCAGCTTTGTTTAGTAGCCGGTGAACAAAAGAGTTCAGCGGTGTTCAGTATCTTTATACCTGTTTGAACTAGAAAACAGGTTAGTGTAGGTTCCATTTTAGCTTTTTTGGTCCCGCCGATTGTAGGAGAGTCTGTGACCCTATGGTGGCAGCAAATATTCCTTAACACAACATCAAAATGATCATTTAGGAAGATGTTGTCACCCAACGTATAGAGCCACTCTTTGTAGACCAGGAGAATAACAACTGTCACCTTGATACAGAGATCCTCTCTTGATCATATGGCAATTCAGTAGTCAGAATATAACTCGTATTTAAGTCCAGCCGTTTTTTTCTTTCCACAGAGTTTTACATTGTTTTTCTTTACACAAAGGTTCAATTTAGCTCACAACAACAGTTTAACTGTCGAACTGTGTCCTTTACTGCCTGTTTTACCTCCCTGATTTTCCAACAGTAAAGAATAGGGTTCAGAGATGAGTTTAAGAATAGTAAACAAAGGAAAAAGTAAATTATATTCTCGCTCAAAAACCTTTCAAAATGTAATGAAATTAAAGCAATACAAATAGGAGAGTAACAAGCAAATAATCCAAGCTGTACCCATGCTATGATGGAAACCGTTTTCTTGTATCGCGCTAAATTCAATGCAGACGGTACAACGCCATTGGGAGGAAGATGTTGTCGTTGGTGAACATGGCCGTGTACATGAAGCAGTAGATGACGGAGACGGAAATAGATCTTAGCGTAAGAGATGGCCGAGATAAGAAGAGAAATAAGCATCACAACAGCATATACAAAAAAGTAAATTTCTAAAATGAAGAGACACCCAACCGAAGCACCAATTAGAAACCAAAAGGAGATAATAAGCGCTCGCACCCGCCTTAATGTAACAACGTATCTATACCTCAGACCCAACGACAATGCAAGAAGTCTGTCCACACTTATCGCAGTTGATGTCAAGAGGGAGACACCACAAAGAACTATAGATGAGATCACCTGTATGTCTTCAACATATTCATAAACGTTGCTGCTGGCAAGAAGCATCACTGTAAACAGCGGTTGTGTTACTAGTCCAACACAAAGATCGGTGACCGCCAAACATCGAAACAAAAGTTTCGTTGGAGGACAAGTCGAAGTCACTTTGTTAAGAGCAATTAGGATGAGAACATTGCCAAGTGTCGCGGTGATGGAGGAAAAAGTGTTCAAGGCTGCAAATGCTGCAGACATCCCCACAAGTGACGCCGGATACCTGACTTCAAATGAGGAGTTTGTATGTTCATCAGTGGTGTTCAGCATTTTTCTCAAAGCCGGCAACAGAGAGTTTGTTCTCAGAAAGGCAAATGTTTGCTACTGTAAACTGTTCCTGTTTGACTGGTTTTGATGGTGTACTGTGATCGTTCGGGTTGGTAATAGTGGCTCACTGATGTTTCAAGAACTGCACAAACGGAAAGTGAAGAGTCTTCGTAAGTCGACTTCTACAAAACTAATTCTGTGTAAACTGATTGGTCAGATTCCTCTTGTGTTATTAGCTGTGAGACGTGTTGATCGGTTCCTTTGTTGTGTAAATATGTCGTGAGTAGGTCGATTTGTATGGCGCAGGTAGGTGACGTTATGGGCTTATGGACTAAGCACAATTACATACGACCATACAAATGATCTGGCCTGCTGCGATGATGACGAAAATTCTCTTTCAGGTGATACGGGCAGTCATATTCCTTATGTCCAAAATAAATAGCTACGGAGCATTCATTTTAAAAGATCCTGTTTCTGCCAGCTGAGGGATAAAATATTTTGCAATTTAATCGGTTCCTTTGTTCAAGGGTCTCAGCCAATCAGAGCGCGCGCTTTAGTAAGGCTATGTCATTAGTCAATATCCATTCAGTGCACTATAAGTGGTAGTCTAAATGGACAAATATCTTAAAAACAACACTGGGCGCAATATATATCAAAATTAGTATTAGCGAAGTGTATATCAAAATTAGTATAAATACACGTTAAACATGTAAACGCTCTCTATCAAGGCAATAGTTAGTTTTAACTTTGCCTTCATTTCTATTTGATTGATAAGACAGAGAGCCTTTTCCAAGTAAACACCCTTTTACATTGTTGGAGGGTTTGTGCAACAGACCGCTACTAGTCACAGAAGAGATCAAAAGATTACGTTCATGCAATTTGACTTTGAATTTTTTGTAAACAGTTAGTTTAATTTGGAATTCTGTTGATTAGTTTGGTGTTAGCCTCATCGGATAATCATGCAATTAATCTTTTAAGTCATATGGCAGTCATGTTTCTTATGACCGCAATAAATGGATGGTACATTCATTTTAAAGGATCCTGTTTTTACCAGCTGAGGGATGGATCATTTTGCAATTTGACATTCAAGTCTGGTAAAAACATCAGCTAAATCTATCGTTTTTGTTAAATTTATTCCTTCTCTAATTCTCTATATCTAGAGGTTACATGATGTAAAGGTATTTCAGTGTATTTACCGTAAATTAAATATATGTATTTACGATCAAGAAAGGACAAAACGCGAACTAAGAAATGTTTATCTTTTTTACCATTAGTTTGAAATTTTCAGTGTGACTTTTTCTTTATGAGAGATATTACAATGTGATACAAGCTCGATCTGCTTAGATATGTGTCATTCATTTCTTTTTCAAGCTGCGTGAAGCCTCTAATTGATGAGACGAAAAGATCGGATGAATTTAATGGGCATCAATAATTTGACTTTTAAATACAGTTTATATTAATCAGTTTTGTTATATTTGTTCCTATTCTAATTTTTTACAGAATCTCTCTCATTCTCTCCTACAATCCTAGTAACATCTTGAAATGAACAAAGCAACTTAAAGAAATAGCTGATTTTAACGCTAAGCCTGTGGTTCATCACCACTCCATAGTGACATCAGATATTCCTTCAACAACATCAAAATGATCAATGGCGAGGATGTTGTCACCTTAAGATAAGCCACTCTTTGTTGACTAGAGTAATGACAACTGTTTGTATATTGGAAAATAAAACTGACCTACACTTTCATTTCTATAGTCAATAGAAACTACTTCTTCTTGATAAGCAGTGCTAATAAATTAAGTAAAAGCAATTATTCAAAAGCAATTTTATAGGCAAAAACATAGGTAAAAATGGCAAAAACCCTATTTCTCATTCTTTTCACACTTTCAGCTAGACATGAAGGTTTTTTTCTTTTTCATGGAAGCTTTATTTGAAACAGCGTTTATAAGTCTATATCTATTAATCCTTTAGGCTTCGATATCTACATCTTCTTGTTAACAATGCAAGCCATGACTTAGAAAGCTACAAAATGCATGTATGCTACCTCATTCCCTTCCCTTCCCGTCAATTTACTCAGTAAAGACTATACTGAAATTCGATATCATTCAGCACACTAAATTTTTAGGCCAAACGGATAGATATCTTAAAACCATTACTGGAAGAAGCTAGAGTTGCTTTCAGATCCGTACAGGTATGAATTTTTTTTAGGCCTCATTTTCAGTACCACCGGAGTGGTGTTCAAAACTGCGAAGATTGCTTTCATATTCACACTGATTCATATAATGGTCACTGTGAAACTATTTTAAAATTTGAGTGTTGCGTCAAGCTACAGGAACCAGCTAAATGAGCTAATCGAATCGACTCAACCATATATCGCTCTACAGCAGTTAACACACTCTTTTTTTCTATCAATACTTGTCACCTGGGTAAAGTCGTCATTTTTCTTTTGAATACTTCTGCAAAAATTCTTGAAAGCCGTATCCTGTTGGCTGCTGACTCTTCCAGTGCACACCACAGCAAATAAAAGAGAGCAAAGCAAACTTTAATTCGTCTAGATTGTCGTTGCGATAAAATACTCTATCGTGAACTTTGTTTTCTCGATGACAGACATGATTCTGGGCCCTATCACTTCTCTTGTCTCCCAGTAGAGCCATTGAAGGAATGGAAGCTAAGAAGAAGCGAAGCCATCCAGGAAGACTTAGAAACAGCAAAAAGAATTCTATCTCAAATCCAAAAGCACTTCGAGGAACTCGAAGCTGAAGTTCTCAGATCATGACTGACATCACCACAAATCGTATTTATAATATATATACATACACTATCATTAGTCTGTCGATGTATTGGCGCAAGTTCCCAAGATGGGCGTTTTTTAAAATAAAATGGGTAACCGAGATGGCCCTGGTAGTGGGACGAGTTTGTTATGCTCCCGATATAAGACATTTCAACTTGCTAGCCGATGCGCAACGAACAGTACACGACCTTCCAAGTTTCACTTCGATTGCCGTGAGTTTTGTTATGGAAGCAAGGGTCTTAGTAGCTGCACCAGCTCATCTCCTTGCATGAGTACATCGAAATTTTTACAAAGTGAATAATAGCGAGGAAGATCATAGAAACCAAACCTTATCAGCTATCTAGGTGCATATGTCTTAAGAGGGCTCTTCTGGGTTGGCCCAAGACGAAATCTCTTCATTACGTTCTAAGCAGCAAATTCTTTGATGAATAGATGCTATAACAATTTTTTGGTGAAATTTTTGTCGGTGTTTTCAATGTTAACCACAGTTTTCCATGAATTTTGTTTTACAATGCCTTCCCTTAAGTTCCTTACAACAGTCAAATAGGCTCGAGACTTTATAACAAAGTTCTTTATAGACATGTTCGCTCCCCACTTTTAAAACTAAACAATGCACACTCAGGTATCACAGATTTTGCCAAAGAATATCTATGGCTTGATACAACTTCATCTTTTAAGGATTCAAAATCCCTGGCCGATATAAGAAACATAAAAGACAGATGGATCCTCAAATTATTAGATTGCCGTCCTATTATTATGGAAGTATTACGTCAAACTATTTCTTGGCGATATTTCTATTTACACTATAAGAAAATAAAAAAAAGACAGCTTGAATTTGTTCAGCTCAATTACATGTGTCTTCTTATTCATCCTTTTCATCTTGGATATGAATGTTTAATGAATCGGCCCTTTAATCAAGTGTTATCAGGTTGTTCAATACATGACATAAACTTCTTGCATATATAGAGGATGTTTATTATTTGCAGATCAGTATAAAAAGAATATTAGTGTGAACTATTGATTAAAATAACAGCAAAAATTTTCAAAAAAAGAAGGTTCAAAGAGCTTACCTTTGGGTGAATCCGTGCATGAAAGTAACAGCGAGTTAAAACAGTGAGTTAGGAAAATTTACAGTAAAAGCTGGGATAAGCTGCTAAGTATTGCAGATAAAACAATTTCTAAATGGAGAAGGAAGGTCGGATAGTCATTGTTTCATCATTTTTCATCTTCCAATTTTTTTAAATTTTATTTTTACCAACACAATCAGCTGTTCTGTCTTATTCAGGCAACCTGATATTATAAACCGAGGACACCTCAAGTTTTGACGGGGACATTGTCGCCGTGACAGATCAATTGGTTTAACCTGGAAACCTACTTTTCTTCTGTCCTTCATCGATTTTGGGCTTATCACCATCTACAAGAGAACTAAAAAGAAGGCTTTTCTTCCGTTTTAGGTCTCACCGTAACCGTCTTTCAGATATCAATTATTCACCTCATTTCTACGAACTAGGATTTTTCTGAATAAAGGGAGTAAGTTTCTAAAGAAACGGTGGTGCTGCGTCGGTAGAGACTAACAAAGTAAGTTAGTATTATCAACTGAGACGTAAATTGGTCACCTTAAAGAGTTTCAAAGCTGACGTTTCGAGCGTTAGCCCCTCGTAATATCGACTGATTTCCCTGATATAATTTTTCTGAACAACTTTAATCCTTACATCATTTATGAAAATTAAATTAAATTTATTAAAATTGATGTACGTTAAGAATCGAACAACCTGACATGAGTAAGATGTAAGTATGGAAATTTCCACGGGAAAATTTTACCAACACCGCAAAAAACCCCACTTCAGTACCTTTCATTGCGATATCCTGTACTGCAATACCCTCCACTGCAATACCTTATACTGCAGCCGTCAACTTCAGGACCATCTTTCCCAGTTAAATAAGGAATTTTGCATGAAAGATTGACACACCTCAGCTCCTGTTTCTCAGGGTCCTATCCCTCGCATAAATTAAGATCACGGTATGTGTCTGTCCAAGTATTGTTTACCCAGACCTGCAGAAGTGTCTCATTTTACCGGAGAATTTTATCATTGAAATGAAGAACCATTATTTTTTTTCTCCAAAGGGCGCCTTGTATTCAAGCAATTAAGGTATACCTTCGTCGATGACAGGGAGATCAGTTCCTCTTACTCTAAACGTACCAGCTCCCATATTATCCTTATCTCTGGTTGCTTAACATTTACCTGAAAGCAATACTAAGTGCTGTCATTAGTGTGTCTCTCAGGCCTTTAAAAGGCATATGGATTCTTCCTCGTAAAAGCGAAGTAAAGGATCGATAGAAAAACCAAGGTGTGGATAAATGAGCCAATAGTGTCTGTGACAATAAACATGCCAATTTTCTGCATTGATCCCAAGATGTCACCATTCTTGCCACTCGTGCGGCAATCAAACTGCAAACACCAATTGGTGAATACCTGGAACATATATAGAACACTCTTCTTTATTGAAAATTACTTATTCCGTAAATCGACTCATCCAATGAGCGTTACATCGGAGCGCAATGTGTATAGTAAAATATCACGCATCGGTCCAAAGCTGCTTTATGCCAAAGTCCTTTTTATGTGATACACTGATCACCCAAATTGTCTACCTTGAAAATTTTATACGAGATCTGTAAGCTGCCATCAAATTATTTCCATAGTACCTTTTTGCCGGTCCCTTAGCTCTCACCTAATAAACACCAAGTTGGACGAGGGATATTTCCCAATATATGCTGGCACAAGGTGGAATTCCGACTAAACGTGCTTCGTTTCAACGAAATTCCGCAGAAATAAAATTCTGAGTTATGATCTTAAATGTCATGTTAGGAGATAATTAACTATATATTTTTAATCTGCTCAGGTGTTGTTAGTGGCCACGTGATCCAATCACCACTAACAGGAATGCACTTCCTTCCACGTTATGCCCTCGATCCCAATCGTTTCCTCTTCGCTTTCTTCTGCGATTAGGTAATTAGCTTTTTATTTATTATGTACGACAAAATTGTTTGATCATTTGACTGTTTTTTTTTCTCGTTATGTCTGTAGAAAACAATCTGCGTCTGATCGAGTTTACCGATCTCCCTGAGGGAGCGAGGCCACACTTTACATCCAACACGTTCAATGAATCCCTTGACACACGGTCCACATTTGATAAGCGAAAGCCAAGTGAGCGCTTTACAACTTTTTTTTTAACCCTTTCACTCCCAGAAGTGATTGACATGTAACTTCTCCCCATAGTATTCATGCAATATCCTGCAAACAGGCATTGAGAAAACTCCAACTTATCAGGTAGAAGTTGTTATCTTGATCTACTACAAATTCTCACAACTGATTCACAAGGAGACGTGTAACAGCTAAAGGAGAGAATTAACAATCAGATCTTGAGAGTTAAAGGATTTACTAAGTGTCACAACAACGGCCAATCAGAGCAAAGGTAAAATAAATTGCGATTGGTTTTGATTTGCACCTCATCCTGACTTCTGATGGTCGGTGAACTTATCATTGAGATTAATTAATTAATTTTTCGAAGTATAGCGACTCCCTCAGTCGTTTTAACTGATGAAACATCTCAAACTGATGGTAAACATTTAGAAAATAAAATTGACGCACGCTTCATTTTACTTCTTGTCAATTCCAATTACTTTTTCTTGATAAGCAGTGTTTATCAAGTAACAGTAGTTCTTCGAATGCACCATGCTAAGCACAGACCAATTCTTTGATAAATGACAACTACCACCTCTTGTGGCGATTCAGTAGTCCGGAGATAACTTGTTTTAAAAGTCCAGCTGATGTTATCGGCTGTTACTGGCGTAGGTCAGTCGTGATTGCTTGGTATAGATCCGTCGATAATGTTTGGTCGCGTTAATGGGTCCGTTTTTTTTAGCGTAAATGTTGTAAATAATCCGATCTATATGGCGCCGGTAGGTGACCTTTTGAACGAAGCACAATAACAAACGATCATACAAGTTATCTGCTGCACATTCACATTATGGTCAGTTTGCTCGAGTAATTGAAATTTGGAATGAATGGTTACTTGAGTATGTTATCGAAGTAAAAAAATTGATTGATTTTTTTTTAAGCAAAGCGACTCTATGAGTTGAGACAATTGATGAAACTTCCGCACCCGGCGAACCTTTCGAAAATAAAACTGACACACGCTTCGTTTTATTTCTGTAGTCAATAGAAATTACTTTTTCTTGATAAGCAGTGCTAATAAATTAAGTAAAAGCAGTTATTCAAAAGCAATTTTACAAAGAAAATGGAAAAAAACGCTATTTATCATTCTTTTAACACTTTCACTTAGACATTCCATTTTTTTTTCATAGAAGCCTTATTTGAAACAGCGTTTACAAGTCTACATCTATAACGCCCTTAGGCTTCGATGTAACAGCTTCTTATTAACAATGCAAGCCATGACTTAGAAAGCCACAATACACGCATACTACCTCATTCCCTTCCCTTCCCGTCAATTTACTTAGTAAAGGCTATATTGAAATTCGATATCATTCAGCGCGTTAAATGTTAGACCAAATGGACAAGTATCTTTAAACCATCACGAGAAGAAGCTAAAACTCAAGTAGCGTAAGTGTTTAGTGATTGGTTAGCTGTAATCCATCGGTAAAGTTTGGTCGTGTTGATCGGATTCTTTGTTGTGCAAATGTCGTAAATGAGTCAATTTGTATGGCGCCTGTGGGTGCTCTTATGGGCTGAGCGTAATTGCAAATAGCTCTACAAAACATCTGCTATTAGTCTAAATTATTAATGGTTGCTGAGTTTATTTTTAAAATAACAAACAATTTTTTTTTGGCGAGTAATGCGACCCCATTAGTAAGTTCAATTGATGAAACTTCTCCACCCAGTGAACATTTGGAAAATAAAACTGACGCCGGCTTCGTTTTATTTCTTTTAAATTCAAATTAATGTGTTTATTACAAGCAGTGCTTATCAGTGCAAGCAATTATTTATAAAAAAAATTTATATCGAAAATGGCGAAAAAAAACTTTAACGATCTTCTTACACACTTTCAGAGCAACACTTCTTCAAGGAAGTTTAAGAAGGCTTTATAGGGTTTTCACTCAATGTTGGCGCGCGCGCCAGCGTTATGTTTTTCTAGAAAACTTTTATGTTTTCGCTTTTCAAGGTCACTAAAAGCCATCAGAAGGCAATGAGTCAGGTTCGGACTATCGTTTACTGGAGTAAATATTATCAAAATGATTTTCGTTTTTAAGCTAAGGCTCCACGAAGGGAGGCGCTCGCCAGCTATAATTTGGCTTTGCCTTTGATTTTCTTCGATTTGCTTTGGTGAGATCTCTTAAAATTGTCACAGTTTTGTAAGGATTGTCCTGCTGATCATCTAAATCCGTAGAAAATAGAGAAATAGAGATCACAAAAGTAGTTTCCTCCCTATTTGCAATTTTGTGTTTTCTTTCTCTATCTCAAATTTGGTCTTATGATTTTTCTTATCAACAGGCACTAGGAAGGCCACAAATATGTTTAACAGTCCAGCAAATGTTAGGAAATTCCACCCAAAGAAACTTGATAAATCTTATTCCAAAGATCCCTGTTTTCTTTGTCCAAAGTAGTACGTAGTGGTATAGAACTTCGCTAAGATCAGTATCTGAGCATGCGTAGACTTTTGAGTCTGTCGCCCTCTGGCAATCTTTCCTTTCCATTGATCTCTTTTCAGTTGAGAAGGCCTAACAATATTACGGGTGCTTTTGTTGGAAACCCTAGATTCCATCGCATAAAGACTTTATTGTATTATATTGTTTTTAATACACCTTTCCAGATAACAATCGTGGTATCGTATCGAGCCACCATGTTTGCATGTTGACTACTATGTTTGTACCCGGATCTCGCGCGGTCAAAAAATCCCCATGGAGCCTCCTAGTGACGTGTACAGCTCCTTGTTAATATGAATCATGACCATAGTTGCACGCTGCACGCTTACCGTTTCTTTTATAACATTGAGACTTTCAACATCTTTCGTTTCGTGTGGAAAAAAAGGAAAACAAACTGACGTCAGCGTGCAGCCCACAGGCAAATCGATGAAGTGTATTAACCAATCAGAGCGCGCCCTTTTATAAAGCTATGTCATCCGTCAATATCGTTCAGTGCACCAAATGGTAGTCTAAATGGACAAATATCTTAAAAACAACACTGAGCGAAGTCGGCAGCCCGTCCATCAAAATTAGTATAAATACAAGAAACATTAAAGAATGTAGCGCAGGCAAACACCTATGACAGAGAACCGTTTCCAGGTAAACACCGCCTTACAATGGTGGAGGGTTTGTGAAACAGGCCGCAATTAGTGACAGAAGAGATCAACAGATTATGTTCATGCAATTTGACTTTTAATTTTTTGTAAACACTTAAGTTAGTTCTAGAATTCTGTTGAGTAGTTTGGTGTTAGCCTTATTAGATGAGGATGCAATTATTCTTTTAAGTTATATGGCAGTTATATTTCTTATGACCGCAATAAATGAAAAGTGCATTTATTGTAAAGGATCCTGTTTCTACCAGCTGAGGGATGGATCATTTTGCAATTTGACATTCAAATCTGGTGAAAACATCGGCCACATCTCAGTATCAGTTTTTGTTAAATTTATTCCATCTCTAATTCTCTATATCTAAAGGTTACCCTGACGTAAAGGTATTTCAGTGTATTGACCGTAAAGTAAATACATGCATTTACGATCAAGAAAGGACAAAACGCGAACAAAGAACTTTTTCTCTTTTAGGCCATTAATTTGAAACTTTCAGCATGGCTTTTTCTTTATGAGAGATGTTATCATGTGATACAAGCTCGATTTGCCTAGACATGTGTCAATCATTTCTTGTTCAAGCTGCGTGCAGCTTCTAATTGATGAGACGAACAGATCGGTGGTGAATTTAATGGGCATCAATAATGGATCGCCGTTTCTTTTTCTCCTAGAAACATCTTACGATGAAGAAGGGAAGTTAGGAAAGTTTCAGCAAAGAAAAACGGAAAAAATCGCTGATGAAGTGTCATTATTTGTTAAATTTATTCTTTTATTGAGTTTACATAAACGTTCGCTAAACATTATTTTTATGTCACATGCTTCAAGTTTGAATATTTTTGTCAAACGGAAGAAATCCTCCAGATCGTCACAAGCGAAAGAGAAAAAAAGAGACATGTCAAACAAAAATATCTATAATAAACAGCCTAATTTTCATTTACTTTCCATTTAAAAGGGTCCGAGGGAGTGCACGTAGGCTTTTTTTGTATACATAATTTATAGGTCATGGAATGTTCTTCCTTCACTGCCAAATTGCTTCAGCGCTATCGAGCTATATTTATATGTGAATAAGGTTTGAACTGCCTGGTATCAATGTACTCTAAGACGTTTCCAGTTGGATGTAGGTGAGTTTTCAATTGTTCTGAGAGGAAAGACGAAATATGATTAGAGTGTCATGTCGTAGACCACAACTGGTTCTCCTTTCCCAAACTCGTTGGCTTTGCAGCTTTGTTTAGTAGCCGGTGAACAAAAGAGTTCAGCGGTGTTCAGTATCTTTATACCTGTTTGAACTAGAAAACAGGTTGGTGTAGGTTCCGTTTTAGCTGTTTTGGTCCCGCCGATTGTAGGAGAGCCTGTGGCTCAGTCGCACCCTATGGTGGCAGCAAATATTCCTTCACACAACATCAAAATGATCGTTTAGGAGGATGTTGTCACCCAACGTATAGAGCCACTCTTTGTAGACCAGGGGAATAACAACTGTCACCTTGATACAGAGATCCTCTCTTGATCACGTGGCAATTCCGTAGTCAGAATAAAACTTGTATTTAGGTCCAGCCGTTTTTTTCTTTCCACAGAGTTTTATATTGTTTTTTACTACACAAAGGTTCAATTTAGCTCACAGCAACAGTTTAACTGTCTAATTATGTCCTTTACTGCCTGTTTCACCTCCCTGATTTTCCAGCAGTAAAGAATAGGGTTTAGAGATGAGTTTAAGAATAGTAAACAAACGAAAAAGTCAATTATATTATCGCCTGAAAACTCTACAAAATGGGATGAAACTATAGTAATACAAAGAGGAGAGTAGCAAGCAAATAATCCAAGCTGTACCCATGCTATGAAGGAAACCGTTTTCTTGTATCGCGCTACATTCAATGCAGACGGTACAACGCCATTGGGAGGAAGATGTTGTCGTTGGTGAACGTGGCCTTGTACATGAAGCAGTTGGTGACGGAGACGGAAATGGACATTAGCGTAAGAGATGGCCGAGATAAGAAGAAAAATAAGCATCACAACAGCATTTACAAAAAGGTTCATTCCTGAAATGAAGACACACCCAACCGAAGCACTAATTAGGAACCAAAAGGAGATAATAAGCGCTCGCACCCGCCTTAATGTAACAAGGTATCTATACCTCAGACCCAACGACAACGCAAGAAGTCTGTCCACACTTATTGCAGTTGAGGTCAAGAGGGAGACACCACAAAGAACTTGAGATGAGATCACCTCTATTGAAGCAACATAAGAATATTCATCATCGTTTAAGCTGGCAAGAAGCTTCACTGTAAACAGCGGTTGTGTTACTAGTCCAACACAAAGATCGGTGACCGCCAGACATCGAAACAAAAGTTTCGTTGGAGGACAAATCGAAGTCACTTTGTTAAGAGCAATTAGGATGAGAATATTGCCCAGTATTGCGGTGATGGAGAATAAAGTGTTCAAGGCTGCAAATGCTGCAGACATCCCCACAAGTGACGCCGGATACCTGACTTCAAATGAGGAGTTTGTATGTTCATCAGTGGTGTTCAGCATTTTTCTCAAACTCGGCAACAGAGAGTTTGTTCTCAGAAAGGCAAATGTTGGCTACTGTAAACTGTTCCTGTTTGACTGATTTTGATGGTGTACTGTGATAGTTCGGGTGAGAGTAGTTCTGAGAAGAACTGTTGTTGGTGATAGTGGCTCAGTGATGTTTCGAGAACTACACGTAACGGAAAGTGAAGAGTTTTCGTCAGTCGATGTCTACAAAACTAGTTTTGTGTAAACTGATTGGTCAGTTTTGCTTTGGTGTTATTAGCTGTGAGACTTCAAAATGTTTAATCGTGTTGACCGATTCCTTTGTTGTGTAAATATGTCGTGAGTAGGTCGATTTGTAAGGCGCAGGTGGGTGACGTTATGGGCTAAGCACAATTACTTACGACCATACAAATTATCTTGAATTCCCCTAAAGCCTTGAATAGTTTGGTTTCGGCCTGCTCTGATGATGATGAAAATTCTCTTTCACTTTGTGATATGGGCAGTCATATTTCTTATGTCCAAAATAAATGGCCATAGAGCATTCATTTTAAAAGATCCTGTTTCTACCAGCTGAGGAATGAAGTATTTTGCAATTTAATTGGTTCCTTTGTTGTGTAAATATGTCGTGGGTAAATATTTTGCAATTTGACTATCAAATACAGTAAAAACACCCTTTATATTTATCAGTTTTGTAAAATTGTTCCTATTCTAATTTTCTTCAGAATCTCTCAAATTCTCTCCTACAATCCTAGTAACATCTTGAAATGATCAAGGCAAGTTATTAATGCTTCAGCAAGAAATGGTTGAATTAAAGTTTGAGGCTGTGGTTTACTGCCACTCTGCAGTGACGGAAAATATTCCTTTAACATCAAAATGATTAATTGGGAGGATGTTGTCGCCCAACTGTAAGCCACTCTTTGTAGACTAGTGGAATAACAACCGCCACCTTGATAGAGAGATTCTTTCTCGTGGCGTTTCAATGGCCTGAATATAAAACTTGTAGACTAAAAAGTCATGAGTCCAGCTGTCCATCCCACAGAGTTTTGCATTGTTTTGTACAACACCTGGGTTTACTTTGGCTCACAACGGCAGTTTAACTGTCTAATTGTGTCCTTTACAGCTTGTTTCGCCTCCCCGATTTTCCAGCAGTAAAGAAAGGGGTTCAGAGATGAGTTTAAGTAAATTGACGTCATGAAAACTTGGATTTGTGAGAAAGAATCCAGTATGATAGTAAGATAGAAGACAAATATTCCGAGCTGTACTCATGCAATGGCGGAAACTGTGTTATTGTAACGTGCTATATTTAATTCAGTTGGCACGACGCCTCTACGAGCCGAATATTCTTGGAAAATATTGCCTCGTACAAGCCGCATAGCGGTGACGAACGTTGACCTTGCTGTAAGAATAGGCCGCAACGAACAGAAGAACTATGAATAAACAAAACAGCTGAAATAGGGCTAAAAAGGGTGATAATGATAGAGTGAAAAATAGTTAGAAAGACCGATTAATGCCAGAAGCATGTTATGACTACTCGGATCCGCCTTGATGTAACAACCTGTCTGTATCTCAGACCCAACAACAGCGCAAGAAGTCTGTCCACACTTATTGCAGTTGATGTAATTGAGGGCTCCACATGAAGCAATAGTTGAAAGAAAAAATTTTTTAAGAGGAATATTCCGCAATTTCCGTCCATTTACCCGCGCGGCAGATTACCCGCATCGGTCAATTTTTGTAATAACGAGAAGAAAATTTCAACAGATTACCCGCACTGGCAGAGAACCCGCACCCAAAAACAAAAGAAAATCGTCGACTCATACAAATTTTCCTAATTTTTTTTGTTGACATGATGTCCTTTTACGTGCAATTAATAAATTTTCACACTTTTTGTCTTCGCTGTTTCATTGAGAATGATACCGCTTATAAAAATGTGTTCTCAAAAAAAATCGATATCTCGAAATCTACGAGTCGAAGAAATCGCTTCAAAGGGGAAAATACTCTTTAACTCAAGGCAGTGCTAGCTTAGAAAATTACACTGATGCGTCGAAAATTCTGTCGCGCCATCAATTAAGCAGCCCACGAATTGAACATGTCATAATATGTCAGCATCATTTTCCGTGTGAACTGCTTTGAAGCCAACTTTTTCACTATTAAATTCTTTTATCTTCATGTTCACTTCCCGTGTAAGTTAGAATTGTTTTTTGAAATTGAAAGGCAAGAAATTAAGAGTACAAACAGGATAAAAGCTTTGTTATCGAATTTTGTATGTTTTCGATTTGCATTAGCTTTCATCGAGAGCATTAAAGTCTCTTATTATAACGAGCAATCTGCTGAAATAAATGAATTAATTCACAGGTTTTTTGAAGAGTATCTTTGGTGCATCTTATCATCTCTGCTTTTTTCCTGCTTATAGTTTTAAAACTATACCGGAAGCTTTAAAAATTATCGTATTACTCGCACCTTCCTAGAACCCGCACCAACAACTGTTTGTGGAATAATTAACAGATTATCCGCAGGTAATTGGCCGGAAATAACGGTAATAACGGATTATCTCGCCTAGGTGCTCTATTCCTTCGCCAATGAGCTTCAATGAGCTTCACTGTAAACAGACGTTAGCATGTCGTCTGTTTACCACCTTTACGTGTTTCGGTTTCACCTTACAGCCACTTTTCCGGGCACAGCCGCCTAGTAAGGGCCTGTTTACATGGAGGTGGGAGATGGTTGAACAATAAAACGCGTTTACATGCAATCTTACAACCCCGGGGTGCTGGAGTGAGGTTTCTTGAGGTTGTTGTTGCGCTTGCAGTTATAGAGTTTAAGCAGAGGCGTCCCAAGCTTACATCTCGAAAAAGACGAAAGATTAATTCTCGGACACATATGTATTTATTCATGAAAGCGTCACGCGTTGTGTTACGCGGTGTTTGGTTTCGCGAGGACTCCGTTGACTTAATGCGTTATACGGAATAGTTTGGGAAACCAAATATGGTCGATTTACAACGCTAAATATTCCGTAGTGTGAACACTTTACACTCGTTGTGCGTCCGTTGCGGTTTCTGGTGATTTCTGCCATGAGACGGCTAGGAAATGTACAAAGTTTTAAAACATACATGTTTCGCTTTTGAACTTTTTGCCATGAACACACCCCGACTAGGCAGGTTACCCCACCTTGACACGTTTACATGCATGGCAAATTGTCACCCCGGCTGACAGGGTTGGTCTGCGAAATGTTCAGAGAGTAAGGCATGTAGCATAATACTTATCCACTTATCCACTATATGAATTTAAGTATGTTCAGAAATGGCTTCTCCACGTTGGTTGAGCTCGTAATGTCAGCCAAACTCCAGGTGATCCCACGTTTAGGATGCATAAATTTGCGAATAAAAGGTCATGATGTCCATGATAAAAGGCGCACCAGAGTTGGCTTACAATAAAAGACAGCTTTAACTTGAAACTTGAAACTGCATGGTAATTGTATCTTTTCGCTTAATGTAACTCAGGATGTATATATTACTAACACACGCCAAGATTTGCCCATCCTACACCTATGCGCAGATTGCAAAAATGTGGTGGAGTCTGTGAGGCAATACAGTAAAGGAAGAAGTAGTATTAGTGGTTGAAGCAATTTACATATTGAGTTAGTAGAATCTGTGTCGTAATATAGTAGAGGTAGATGTAGTAGTAGTAGTTGAAGCAATTTACATGCTGATTTAGTAGAATCTGTGTCACTATAAAATAAAGGAAGTGTAACATCCCTCTGTCATTAACCAACCAAGGTAACAAGAAAAGACAGAGGGCTTCATCTTAATATGACACCAGACTCTTTTTAGAGAATGTTTCACAAGTAGTAATGTAAAGAGAAATTTCGGTAATGTTGTAATTTTATAAACGCAACATTTTGTAGCTTGTTTTCAATATATAATCCATTGGAAAAATAGGTAAGCATGTGGAATGATTACGAACGACAAGATTTGTTCAGAAAGAAAGTAGAAGGATTATGTATTTTTAATGCTACGTATACGTACGTTCACCGGCTTAGCAAAGCAATAAACAGTGAAACCGAGGTAAACAGTTGACGTTTTCTGTTGGCATCAAGCCTCTGTCTAAAGGGGAAAACTGAGATGACAGGTTATAAAAAAATGGCTAATCATGTCTTAACAATGTTGTAATCAGTTTGTTTTCAGTTTTTTTCTAAAGCAACATCGTAGTCCCTAATGAACAGTCTTGATTTGAACTTTCCGTGCCTGCAGTAAATCGAAAACGAGTTCGTAAACATCCATTTGTAATATGAATGATTCGTTCAATTCAACTGATAATCACGCAGCTACATTTGTAGGACGAAATTGCCAACCCGCGTAACGAAAGGTTATTCAGTTCCTGTCTCAAATCATTCTCTGATTGGCTGCCGCGTTCAGTGTCGTTGTCAGGTGCAGACATTTAAGTCAATATGTAATTGGTTTCCTAGGGTGAGAAAAGCTGTTATTGTTTACGTAGTAAGGACTGTGACTGTTATGTGGCTTCATAAATATAATCAGAGATGCATTTCGAACTCGTCCTAAAACAATGGAAATAAAAGATGTGTTGTAAATAAAATCTTTTAACCACTAAGACGTTCAAGCGCAATCACACGTTTTCTTTCATTTTTTATCTTCCACTTTTTTCTAGACGTGATGTACGCTTGTATCCATGGCAGGAAGCCAGCACTTTTCATCGAAATTTGATAACAGTTTTTGAATTCTAGTAAATAATATGGTTCAGAATGGGTTACCTCCAACTGATTCCTCGATAGAATTCCACCTTTCGTGAACGCAAGTCTATTTAAAATATTATTTCGCGAACACAGGCCAAGTCATTTAATGAATTATTTAGATGAACCCACAGGTGTTGCTTCTTTGAAAAAGTATCCTACACTTCACACGACAGATTTAAAAATTGAAGACGCTGAAGGTGTTGTTATCTGCACTTTAGTCATGATGCTCCGGATTGCAACGTCGCTGAATCCGCGACCTCAACAAATCGGTCTAGCTGTAGTGATTAGTATTTCTCTTTGCCAAAACTATAGGTAAATTGCCTTATTTATTTACTATTTCTTAGTTCTTCCTCCCCAAAAGAAAAAAGAACTTAGTATTCAATCATGACTATGTTATGCAGGACATTAACCGAATTTTGCGTGGACCTTTTCTGGCTAGGCATCAATATAAGTTGTCTCGTGCAGCGATATCTAACGCTTACTTTTACCATGTAATAAAGGGAAGGATATCCTATACATATTTACTTCCTTTAAAACGCTGATAAAATACCCCTCCAAAATCGACAGTAAGGATCATTGTTTCACGCGGGAGCAGGAAAAAGAGAGGTAAAGGTTATTGTCTCGCAAATTTGTGGCCAAATCTCACAGGTCACGCCATCATTTTTCGGCTACGTATCTCATTCACTTCGAACCAGAGTCAATCCTTTCTTTCACCGGTGAAACGAGAGTTAAAGAGCGAGATCGAGTCGAGTAAACTGATTCTTTGGTCGGCACGGAACCGGAGGCTGACAATGTTATGATACAAATTAACCTTATTTGTTCAACATGTAAACTGCTGTGTTATCATGTCGACAAGTTTCCTGTTTTTATAATAACGGGGCCGCCCTCAGCCACTCTTCCGTGCAAAACTAACTTAGATATGATTTCTCTCGTTATAAGGTTTCCATCGCCAGGATTCCTCTGCCGTTGTGTCTTACATCAACTTCAAGCCTGAAGCGTTTTCTTACTTAAATATTACAAGAATTGTTTCAGAACTTGTCCAAGATGGTAGCGAGTGTGAATTTGCCTGTTTGGAAATCACTTCGTGTTTTTCGTACAACCTGGCTGCATTTCCTGATAATCGGGGAAACTGTTGTGTGAACTGCTCCCGTCCGCACAGGGAACCCAATGAACTTATCAGCACTCCCATATTCCATCATTTCAGTGAAACTGTAAATGTAATCTTGTTTCAGTTTAAGCTATATGTCCCCTCCTCCTTGAGTAAATCAATTGGGGCTGCTTCTGATAGGAAAGTGCGTGATTGAAAGTGTCATTTGACGGCTGTGATTTTGTATGATAACTTCAGTCAAGAGAATACAAACTGTAATTCTCTTGCCTCAGTGACACAGACCTCGTTATAGTGATGGTGGTCCCTTTGTTAGAAAGAAAACTTAGCATGTCAATCTTGAA